TAAAGGAGGCAGAAATTCAAACCAGAGTCTTCTGGAATGATTTACATGGCACATAAAACTGAGAAGCAATCACAGAAATCATTCAACAAATGATTGGGATTAGTTTTATGAATGCTGCTTTCAAAAGGAGGGACAATGTAGCCCTTCTAACTTCTGCGATGGCACGTGCCTTATGGAAAGCTGTTCCTGCCAACAAGCTGAACACCCTCTGCCATCCCATGCAATTCGATGGGAATAAGCGCTATTTGGCAACTCCAGCACCAAGACACGGAGCTCGCCTTCCAGTGACATGAATGGTTAGAGCTGGTTTGCAATTGTATCAGCTCTGTGCTTCCAGCAGCTCTGGAGCTCTTGTTAACAGATCCTTTCTTCACTCTTAAAAGTGCAGGATAACATCTGGGCCTTTTGGGAAGCAGTCTCGCAATAAAGAAGCACTTTGTGTAATTCTTCTTTCCTCGCCAAACCGCATCTGTCTGCTCCCTCTGCCCTTCTCCACTCCACCCGAGCTCCTTGGGGCTATGGGGACATCTGTTAGCAGAGCGAGCTGTCTCCACCGAGCCATCAGTAGGTGGCACTGCCTGCTTCTTTCTCCCCATCCACACCAACGTCCAGGGCTGACACCCCACATCACCCAGCACTAACTACTTTGAAGGGTGCCCGGGTGACTCGGACACCTCACCTCTTGCAAGGTGCACCTATGGCAATGTCAAGCTGGGACAAAGAAGCAGCTCCATCGCTCCTTGGCAGGCAGCTTTTCCAGAGGAAGGAGGTGGCCAGCAAGCAGTGCAAACCTCTCCTGTCACCTCAGTAGGATCTGGCAGGCTCCTCTTGATGATCCTCTCCCCCTAACACCAGTTAAAGAGGCAGTGTCAGCCTGGTTGAACCATGTGGTGGCCTCGTTCATCTTTAGCCAACCTGTTCCAAAACCAGCTCAACTGAGCTACTTGAGAAAACCATCTCAGTCTAAAACAACCCTCCTACTTGCAGCAATCCCCTACTGATGCCTGCATTTGGAGTGCATGGTCAGACCCGCAGCCTTCACTTGGGTTTGTCAGGTTTGTTCCCAAGAGCCGTGAACCTCTGCTGCCCCATCCAAAACACAGAATGACAAAACCTCCACGTAGCCACACACCAGCTGGTATCAGCAATCGCTTCTCAGGCTGCAAATTCCCAACGGGGTCATGGCCAAATTCCACCCACCTGCAGAGCAAGGACTGTTGCTGGGAATCCTGCACCACTGCCACCACAAAGGGGATTCAGTGCCCACCTGCTGGCAACAAGGAAGAGGTCCCTGAGTAGCTGTTTCCACTGCAGCTTGATCTTCCTTGTGCCCCCCTGCTTTCTGTGACAACAACAGTGGATTCATGCAAGAAGGACGGTGAAGGACCAGACCTTCCAGAGTTCACACACTCCCTATGCAAGTGTGTTTGCACTAGAACTTAATTGTATATTGACTCTCTTCAGACGTGGAAAGCCTGTCTCCTTCCACCTGGAATAAGCAAAACATACACAAAGCTTTATCATTGTAATCCTCACATTAAAACTGAAACTGCCCTACCCTGCTGGCTGTGCATACGTATAGGGAAACCATCAGGGTAAAAATCTGTTCATTATCACATGTAAAGAAAAGAAAAACGTGTTGAAAAGTATCAGGACCAGCTGGCACATCCGAGGTCCACTGAACTTGCCAACAGCAAGTGATGCATGTACTATTTTAATCAGTAAGTTTTCCAAGTGATAAATATCACGACCATTTAAAAAAAATGGTAACCAGTACACTAAAACCAAACCAATTCCTATAGAAACTGCTTTGACATCATATCTTGGTGACTTCTTTATATGTAGATGTCATCTCAGTGTTTCATTTGTGTGCTTTAGCTCAATGCTAAAGCTACATGAGCCTGGGCAGTCAGCAAACCACGGGTACTGTTAGCAGCTAGTGTCTTCTTCCATGGGCTTCAGACTAAGCCAATCCTTCCCCTTGAGCTTTTGTGTTTGCTTTTGAGCAAGAGGTAGCTCCTTCGTAAATGAATCATTGTGAGCTCACAGGAGGGCTGATAAAGACGGAGCTGCCACAGAAAGAAGCTTGCGCTTCTCCCAACGTCTGCAGTTCCAAACCTCCCCTGCCTTCTCTTCAGCAATGCAAAAAGGAAGGAGGAATGGCAGCACCCTTCATTCTGATACTCCACGGCTATAATTACATGATTAGAGTGAATCAAACATCTCCTTTGTGTCTTTACAATCATGCTCATTGTTTGGAATTAACTGCAAATGGTTTGATTTCCTTCTCTTCCTCAAGTACGGGCAGGGAGGAATTAAAGTAAGCACTAAACCATCCTCCCCACCAAAATGCACGGAAAGGCAGGATTCAGACAGCAGCATTTGAACCTTGCAAGAAAAGAAACCTCAGCACGGAGACCACGGAAGAGATCAAGCACCTCATCTGGCACAGAGCGACTGGAAAGCAATTAGCAGGCTGCTAAACCCTCTTTTACAATAAATCACTGACCCAGTTTCCCCTCTTCCTTAGCGCCCTTCATTATAAAATCAACTTTAATGAACTGCCCTTCTCTTCCCCACTCCAAACCAAATCCATCTCCACTGCAGGCTGCACCTGCCCTTCGCTGTCACACCAGGGAGCCTCTCAGAGCCCCCAGCGAGCTGCAGCAGGCCTGGGCCTGCCCCAGGCCATGGGGACAAGGGACAATGGCCCAGCGCTGGCACTTTGGTGGCCATAGGAATGATGGGCAGAGCACAGAAAAGCAATTAGGAAATGCAAGCTGCTTTCGCCTCAGCATCGGCTGATGTGAAACCGTTCTCCCTCATGCTGGTTTTCCATGTTTCTTTTGCCTTGATTCGCCACATCTGCCGGAGCTGACACATCTGGCTCCCTCCCCAGGCGGAGGGCACGGTGGATATGTCAACATGTTGTCTGAAGGCAGTGGTTCTTTCTGGAAAGAGCTCTCTCTCCCCCCCATCCTATATTGTACAATAATCGAGCCTTTAAAAAGGATGACTGAAAAAAAAAAAAAAAGAAAAAGGAAAAGAAAAGCTGATTTTGACAAGAGACAGGCCAGAATGGGAACTGCTGAGACAGTAAAGAACAAGCCTGTTATCTTACAAACTACACTTCAGGCTGTCAGCTGCCAGAGATTTACAGGAAAACCCCCGTTCACAGGGCTCAACGTCCTCGGAACTCTTCTTATTTCCAGCAACAGAGTCTCACGGAGACGCTCACCCCGAATAGCCCCTGCCCGTGGCCGGGGATGCCCCAGCACGGATGGGCAAGAGGGGGACAGTGCAGCCGCGGGTACCCGGGCCGCCTTCCCCGTCCCGGCCCCGAGCACGGTGCCAGGAGGGTGCCGTGTCCCTCCAGCTATTTATAGCAGCCGACTCGTATTTGGGTATGCCGGGAGCCGCCGGGAGGGGGGTAAGGAGCTAAAAAGAGGTAAGAAGCAAAGGCAGGAGAGGTCCCGGCCTTCGCTGTGTCGTGCCCTTGGCAGTACGGGTCCTGCGAAAGTGCCTGTCAAAAGCCTGAAGAGGGGAGGAGATGCTGGCTTTTGGATTGCCTCGGCAGCAAGCTCTGGACAGTGATTTCTATGCCCTCGGCCAGCTTAGAAAACAAGCTAAAAATCAGTCTTGAGGTCCGCAGACCCTCTCCCCTTTGCCGTTTTAACAGAAACATAATAAACGCCAAGCTGCTCGCTGGTGCCCATTTTCCGCACCGGTTTTTCGCCTCCAGCATGACACCAAAGCCCCATTCCTGCCCGCACCGCCGCCCCACCGCGCCTGAATAAAGCCTGGCAGGTCCATTTTTACAGCCTCCTTTCAAGGTGATGTCCTTCCAATGGTCCAGCCCTCACCCTCGGCGCAGAGACCTCGCCTCTGGAGTGAAACGCATTAAAGAAAGAGGCGGGTGATGCCCGGGGCTGACCGCGGACAGGCGAAAGAAGGAAGCGGGACGAGGCTGAAAACATGTTTCTGATTTAAATGTAATCTCTTTTCAATGGGGTGGACATTGGCTCGGCTCTCCCAAAACCAAACTAGGGCAGTAACACAGGAGTAAACTAATGCAGTTCCTGGGAGCTTTCTGTGCTACCCTAGGTGTACTTGTTATATAGTTGGACCTGGCGGATACAGGAGGAAGGGAAGGAAAGGAAGACGGGAGGAAGGTTAACATCTCTTTTCTCCTCGTGGATAAATCACAACTACACCTTCTTTGAACGCGATATGAAACTCGAGAGCTTTGATCGGTGGGATCTGAAGCTCTCGTGGGGGAGCTGGTACTCGCTCCTGCTGCAGCTGCTTAAGAAACACAAAACTCCTTCACTCGATGCAGTTCAAAAAGCACCTACTGTGAGACCGTCTGGTCTAACTTTCATTTTTTATCCCCTTGCAACGCTCGCGCTATGCGAAACGCAAGGGGAATTTCCATAGCAGCATTTACATCCAAATGGACCCGTCGAGGTTCCCGCTGATGTGTCACAGTCCCACCACGCAGCCCTGCCGGCAAGTGCCGCGGTGCGCTGACTAACCCAGCCACCACCACCCTCCTGCCCCGTGGACCGATCCGTGCGCCAGGGCTCCGGGCACCCCGCACGGAGCCAGAGGGAGCCCATATCCAAACCGGCCACATCCAGTCCCCCACATCTGCGGAGTGCTGCTGGGCCTCCGAGTCCCTTCCTCAGTCCCCCTCCTTCCCACCTCGGTGTTGACGAGGCAGAGCGACCCGCAAGGCCGAGCGGAGCGGGAGGATGCCGGTGTGGGAAGCGCCGCAGCCCGCACCTCTCCAAAGGGACGGGGTGGGGGGGTGAGCCCCACTGCTAGGAGCGGAAAGCGCCCATCGACGCGCCTCCAGCCTGCCCCGCGACCCCACGCCGGGGAAAGGAGAGGCGCGCAGAGGAGCCCCCATCCCGCTCCGCGCTCTCCTCCGGCAGGTTTCCAGCGGCGGGGCCAGGAACCCGGCGCAAACCCGGCGCAACCGCGCAACTCCCGCGTACCTGCAGGACGTTGGCGTGGCGCAGCCGCTGGAGCAGGATCATCTCCTTGACGATCTTGTAGGCGGCCAGGCGGTAGCAGTCCCCCAGGGCGGAGAACTGCCGCACGCAGCGGGCGATGTCGTGCCCGCCGAAATCCACCGCCTTCAGCGCCACGGCCAGCGTGCGGTTGAGCACCGCCTTGTAGACCGCCTTGGTGTAGCCGGAGCCCAGGTACTGCACGCCGCTGACATTGCGGATGTCGCGGCAGCCCAGCAGCGGCGGCTCCAGCGACAGCTCGGCCGAGGCGCCCGCCCTGGGCCCCGCCGCCGCCGCCGCTCGGCCCCGCGGCCCGGGCTGCTCCGCGGAGGTGCGCGGCGGCGCCAGGTCCATCAGGCGCCGCTCCCGCGGTCGCAGCGGCCGATGCTGCCGGTAGCGCAGCACCTCCTCGTAGCGCTCCCGGATCTGCCGCTCCAGGGCGGCCCGACCGCCGCCGCCGTCCTCCTCCTCCTCCTCCTCCGGCGGGTAGAGGGGGCCGCCGGGCGGGGACGGGGGTGCCCCTTCGCGGGGCGGCGGCGGGTGCTCGGAGCCGGGGACGAAGAGGACGTTGAGCAGGGTGCCCAGGAGGAAGGCGAGGCAGCAGCCAGCCGCCACCGCCGTCTTCCTGCGTCTCATCGCCGCGGGCTTCTCCAGCCTTTCGGGCTCCTCTTCTCTCGCCCCTGCCCCGGGAACCAGCTCCGAGGGGCTTTTATCGCTCTCCTTCGCTCTCAACCTCCTCCTTCTCCTCCCGGCGGCGGCAGAGCGGAGCCGGGCGCTCAGCCGCAGCGCAGCTCCTCCCGGCGCTCCCGCATGACACTTGCCTCGCCGCTTTTAAGCCTCTGAAGCACTTATTATTAGCGGGACAGGGCGGAGGGCGGGGGGGATCCCCGGCTCGCTGCCCCCGCCGACGCGCACTGATTGACAGCCCGGGCGAGCAGCAGGGGGGCCTGGGAAACGTAGTCCCCCCGCCGGCGAGCCCTGGAGCCGGGACTACATCTCCCAGCCCCCCGGCGGGGCGGGGCGGAGCGGGAGATGCGCGGGTGCGGTGCATGCGGGGGTGCCTTTGTCCCTAGGGAATGGAGGGGGGAACACAAACACTCCCGTACCCAGAGAGCCACATAAAGGACGGGGAGGGGGGGAGCTGCCTTTTTCCCACCTCCGCTCTCATCTCCAAAATAAAGCGAGGTGAAAGCCGCGGCACAACGCGGGCGCGGAGGAGAGCCGGGATGCGGGGCTGTGCGGGAGGTGGGTGCGTGTCACCCACACGGGGCTGAAGCCACAAATCACGGCCTCGGCATGGGGTAGCCCCTGCCCGGTTGGAAATGTGAATTGCAGGGGTGAGTGCTAATGACAGGGTTATCCATCAAGGCCGCATTACGATGCTGTTAGCAACTAATTAACAAACACAATCAGCCCGCGGAACTGCCAGTGAGAAAGGGCCATCGGCAAGAGAAGAGTCAGGCGCGGCAATAATCACCACAATGGAGCGGGAAAGCGTTTCCAATGAGGGGAAGGGACGAGCTATTGAGGGAATACACATCGGACAGACAAAAAGGGGGGGGGGGAGGGAAAAAAAAGGATAAGAGAAGAAAAAAAATGAGGGGAGAGAACCCCCCTTTTTTTTTTTTTAAAGAGCGAACATAAAATATAGGAATTAAAAAGGAAAAAGGAATCTTCTTCGGCCCCCGGCGTGCTGCGATCGCCCGCGTTTCCCAGAGCCCCGACAGACCGCGGAGCTCGGGGTGGGGGGCCCAGCCGAGGGACATGGAGCGGGGCGGCCCCTGGAGGGGACGTGGGCATGGACCGTCTGTGCCAGCACCCTCCGCTTCCTGCCGCCGCCTCCCGAGGGCCCTCGGCACGGTCCCGCACACGGGGTGGGCAGCGGCACGGCGGAGCGGCACTGAGCACCGCATCAAACGGAGGGGGGCACGCTGCGGGTGATGGGGAGCGGCTTTTGTACCTGCTGTACCCTTCTGTGTGTGTGTTGGGGCGGGGGGGGGGTTGGGTTTGGGGGGGTTTGGGGTGGTGTCGTCTGCGTCCCCCCCCCCCATCGTTTCTGTCCCTACCTCGCGGAGCAACGTTCCGCTTTTCAGCCGTGCCAGGGCAGCTCCGACGCAGACTTCTGGAGCCGGCCCTTAGGATTTCACGGGTGTAGAGGAGGACGGGTTCGAGGCCAGGTTATATCTGTTACATATCATCTACTATCCATTATATATCATCTATTATTTATTATATATATATAAAATTTTCCCAAATGAGTGGGATCATAACGGTATGAAATGTGTTTCCAAAGATACTGGGGCACCTGCAGCCCTCCCTGTTTGGGTGTCGGGCTCTGCTCGTCACCGTGAGGAGGCAGTGATTGAAGGCGGGCAGCCCCCTCTGTGTCTTCTTTGCCTCTTCCCGCAAACCCGGCTCTTCGGGCTGCGGAAGCTGCGCGCCCGCCCGCCGTGTTTGCGCAGGTTACGGGAACACAACCGGACTGCAAAACAGATGCTCCCGCAAGCCGTTAAAGTGGGCCACCTGCTTTTCACATCATGCCCCATCACAAAGCCGGTTTCCTTCATTATATCCCCCCCGACAGACACCATGAAATACATCACTCATTTAGATATGGGAGCCGACCTCTGCAGGCCGACTTGAGCGGAGCGCTTTGATGTCGAGAGACAGATTGCAAGAGACAGAAAAGCCCCTTCCATGTTTCTAATTACCCCGTGCCCGGGGCCTGCCGCTGATTAGGGCGGCCCGGCTCGGCTCGGCTCGGCCGGGCACGGTCGCGGATAGAAGGGGGGGGGGGGGTATTCCAGCCTCTTCGAGCCGCGCTGCCAGCAAAACCAACACGGGTGCACAAACAGAGCTACCGGTTAAAGTCAACAGCGAGCTGCGGCCGACAGCAAACAGCCCGTGCCGGCGTGGAAACCGGGTTAAAAAGCCCTTTGTGAGCACACTCCCCGCACCGGTAAAGGAGGTTTAGGAGCAGACGGTATCTGGCCCCGCAGCAGAACGGTGCGCTGAAAGCACTGCAGCCCTTGCTAACGCTTGTGCTCACATGCGAGCCTTTTATCTCGGCTGAGCGCTTGGAAAAGCTGAATCACGGCGCAGGGAGTGAGGGCTGAAGGGTATTTTTCTCATCTGCAGCAGGGCTGCTCTTTATTTGATCTTCGCAGTCCCTATTTCTATCAATATTCCTAAAGCTGAGGGATCAAACACGGGGGAAAAATTAAAACCACGCTACAGCGCTAAATAAGATTAAGATTGTGGCAATATTGACTGCTCCTCAGGGAAATGGTTTTGCTGCTGCAGGAGACACGGTCGTCCTAGGGGTTTGTGGTTCAAGAATGGGCAATGGGGAAGAGAGCTTTGGGAGTTACATCCAGATCCAGCTAGGGGCAATCTCAAGGGCCCGTGCCTCTGTTCCTCTCTGCTCTTCAGCTCAGATGCACGGGTGTTTCTGGTCTATGGAGTCGACATTTCCCAAGCTAAGCTCACCCATCCCTGGTTTGACACCCACAAACAGGCATCTTCAAGCAAATCCCACCCTTGGTCTCAAGGCGTTTTGACTCCAGCCCCCCCCCCAAGAAAAAAGAAGCCCCACATTTTAAGTGTGGGTATCTTCAAGATCTTGCTTAAAAAACACAACTGGAAAGATGTTTGTGGGAGCTGGAATCCTTCAGAGCTTCTGCTGGCAGAGAGGCATTGCACACTCACGTCGCTCCCCATTGACACTGAGGAGTTAATTCTTTCTTGCGAGGACTTCATAACATGTTGAATTCCTGGCCACCGCTTCTGGCTGCTTGCGTGGAAGGAGAGCTTTAGTTGGAAAAACCAGCCTCAGCTGGGAGGCCAGAAGGCCCTTGAAAATGCAAGTCCACGTCCTGCATGCCTTTTCACTGAGGGCTTCTTCCACGTCCAGCCTCCCCATCCGTCACTCCCTGCTTTGCCAAGGGCTTGTCAGCTTTCAGGGCAGGGTGGAAAGCTGCTCCTTCCCCAGGGATGTGAGCCCTTCCATTTTGGATCCTTTTGTGAGTTTTCTTAGGTGGCAAAACCTTTGTAGCGCTTTCTGCTTTGAACAGAAATCTCTTTATTTGATGTTGCTTCCTCCTCTCTCTCTCCGGAAATCCACTCCCTTGTATTTTTGGAAGCAAAGCTGAGATGCAGCCAATTGTATTAGCTCTGGCTGGAGCAAGAAAATACATCGTGAAACCCTGGATGTGTGCTGTGAGGCCAAAATAAATGGTCACGAGCAGAGCCAGCAGAAACCTGCGAGCGCAGGCGCCCTACAGAGGAAGGAAAAGCCTGGCCTCTACCTGGAGTGCTCTGGGCTTTGCCAAAGGGGAAGACGCACTGTGGGGTTTAGGGAGCTTGGGAAGAGACACTGGGGCACTGGGGGGAACTTTGGGGTTCCGTTTGTGAACCGTGATGATTCTTGCAATGTGTTGTGTGAGTACAGCACCTGCAAGCGGGGGAAGGTGTTTTATCTCCTGACCTGGATCCTCAAAGCGCAGCAGTTTGGGGTTCGTGTGCCAGATGTCAGCGTGGCCCTGGTTCTTCAGGCAGTTGCAATTAAAGCTTCCCTGTATCAGAGAGGTGTTAGGAGGGTAACTCCATTAACGCACGTGGCAATCTGGTGTGGCAGCGATAAAGACCCTGTAAACATTAACACAGACAGGGGAGCTCATGGATGTTTTACGTGATTAGCCTAACTTCATTACAAGGAATGCTTGGGAAAGCCACATAGTCCATTCCCTTCTCTTTTTTAATTAAACATTGACAACACATCTGGTGCTGCTTCAAGCCCCAAGATTCAGAGGGTCACTGCTCTAAATATTTTACAATCTGCGGGGAAATATCAAGTCTCAAGCAAAGGGGGAAAAAAAGTAATGTAGAAGAATAAATCTTAACCAGTCAGGCCTTTTACACTTTTAAGAGTTAATAAAATAGCGGGTAAAGAACAACCAGAGGATGTAATTTATTTGGACATTCAGAAGCCTTTTGATAAACACCCATACAAGAAACTGTTAAGGAAACTTGGTAACCACAAAGTGCGAGGTAAAGTCCTGTCATGGATTAAAATGTGGTTATAAATGGGTATAGAATAAATGGGCAATTCTAGTAGGGAAAGAGATTAATAATGAGGTGCCCCAGAGAGCAGGACTCAGACCCCAATATTGTTTAATGCTGTATTAATAACCTGGGGGTGAATAGTGACGTGGCAAAAGTTGATGTCAATAGAAAAGTACTTAGCCTGGGTCAGGAGCAACTTCAGAGGAATTCAATAAAGTGGCAGGCCCATGTGCAGGAGGATGGGGGCAGCTTGGAAAGCACCTTCCGAGCCTACAGCAGAGCTCGCTGGCACATGGGCCTGCCGCACGTCTCCACAAAGGGGAGGACAGAGGTAAGCAGAGGACGGGCAGATGTTTCCAAGCATCTCAAGTGCTTTTCCACTCCCCCCAGTTGCTGCCCAGCTCCCCCGGTTCATTATGCCCGCAGGAGTGACTGCGCTGGACCAGCCTGCGAGCAGTAACCCCAGGAGCTGCTGCGGTAGCTGCTTAGAGCAGGCAGCGTGCACTCCCCTGGCTGACCCTTCCCTGGGGACATGCCAAAGGCTCCATCCACATCACCTCTGCAGGCTGTTCGGAAATGAGGTGTTTGGTCTGATGAGGGTGACGTGGCAGCCAACAAGCCTCAAGCCCACTTGGTCTGAGAGTGTGAGCTCCTGGGTGCTGCCT